TGATATTCGTGTTGGATTAGCCAATGCATTTGTTCAATTATATAAACTTGAAAACACTGAGTAAGAAAATTAGAACTGAAAAAAACCAATATTTTCATTTGATTTTTCTTTTATAAAGATTAGCATTTAATCGTACCATTGAAGTTGATCGATAAATGTATTGGAGCATTAGTTAGTTTAGCAATGTTGGAATTAAATATGAAAACATCCGAATCAATTCGTAATGATATGTGATGAATCTTTCTTGAGCTTATCAATATGATCTACAAAATCCAATAGTTTTAAATCATTTAGCAAATCATTTTTTTTCTTCAAAAAAGTTTGTCGTTGTTCGAAATTGAAATTTGTTGATTTGTTTTTTTGTAAGAATTATACACATGTTCGTCAATTAGCAATGCATGCGTTGAATTATACAGAAAACGAAGCCATCCAAGCAGAAAGTTGTTATCATTTAGCTCAAGATTATCATGCTGAATGGAATTATGAAGAAGCATTTTGTTATTATTATCAAACAACACATTTAGCACTGAAAAAATTTGTTTTACCATTATTTGATCTTGAATAAATTTATTTACAACTAGAACGATACAGCAAATGTTTGTTTGGAAAATTTTATTTAGACAAGTGATTATTTTGAAAAAATTTTAAAAAATTCATTCAAATGATCATGAATCAATGAATAACTTAGCAAATATTTATGCAGAACCGAATGATCCTGATAAAAGAGATAAAGGAAAAGATTCTTTAAAAAAAGTTAAACAACATAATGCACATGATATTGATTCATGGATTCAATTAGCAGAAATTCTTGAAGGCGTCGATTTACAAGATATGGAAACGGTTTATTTATGTGTGAGAAATGTTTCATTGAATTATATGAAATTTAACTTCCTAGAATATTCTTCTAAAAATAATTTGAGAATTGACTCTGTTAGATTCGTTGGATGCTTATATGACTACATCAAAGTTAATTAATTCGTCAGTTTCATGGAAAAGATATTCCAATAGAAATGTTGAATAATACGAATTCATTACATTATCGTTTAAATAACTATGAAGAAAGTCGTAAATGTTTTGAAAATGACATCTCATATCTTATATGCTGAACAAGCTCATCAAGTTGAACCAGCTTATGCTAATTCAATTCTTATTACAATGCGTTATAATTTAGCTCGGATATGCGAAGCATCATTTGAATTTAATAAAACTGAAACATTATATAAAGAAATTTTACGTGAACATTCCAAATATGTTGATTGTGTACTTCGTTTGGGTTCTATGGTACATGATCGTGGTCAAATTTATAGTGCATCTCATTAATTTAAAGATGCACTGGAAATTAATCATAATTCACCGACATGTGATAAAGAAAGAGTAAGATTTATTTAAAGAAATCAAACCTTATTCTTCAAGCAGCGATGGTTTGAGTTTCAATTGCATAATGGCCATCCATAGATGGACGCTTAGACAAAGAGAGGAGGGTGAAGACAGTAAAAGACGAACATTTTTGGACAAGAGGAGTGAGATTAGACATATTTGGACGTCCGGATGCTAATTATGATTTTTTTTGTTTTTTTTCAGTGTTTTTTCCGAAGCTTTCAAGTAAAATTGATTTTTGATGGTTTACCCTACTAACACCGACAGTAAAAATGTCGAAAAAATATAAATACCGAAAACAAAAACGGTAATTATACTGAAACGTAGAAGTGTTGTAAATGAAAGTATACGAAGAGAGAAACCGCCCTCACCTCACTCTTACATTTTCATTTGAAAATTTTCTTATCTTCTTATCTGAACTTGGTTCAGTATCAGTTGATAGTGTACTTTTTTT